AACTGCTGCTCCTGTCCCGTAACTTGTCTGAAAGCCCCGTCATTTCAAAGTTATAATAATTTGGAGGGAAGTGGGTCGTATTTTCTATTCCCAGGGAGGTTCCCACCTTCCTTGGTAGATGCCTGTCCTTCAAACCAAGATACTGCTGTTGTTGCTCTAACTCAAAATGAGCAGAGATGAATGTACAGGTTGATCTATCCAGTCCTACAGTCAGTGAACCAATAAAAATGTCATTAAAACAGACAGAGTGTTCAGAGACATGGAGAGCGATCTAAGCCTGAGGTGTGCTGTTCCCTAAGCACTGCTTTGATAAATACACTTCCCAGCTTTTGGATCTACTGCTGAAGTCTTAGAATGTAGTTTAAAATCCAGTACAATGAAAAATGAATCTGTAAGGGGAAAAAAACCTAGGGTGAATCCTCTTGTATAAGTATGCAATTCAAAATTAGGTGGGGTTTTTCAATCTAGTAGATATACAATATTCAACCACATTTCTGCCTCCTTCCTCTTTATAAGAAAATCAGTAAATGGGGGTGGCTGGGGGAGGTTCTGAGCATATTAGAGACAATTTTCTACTTGACTCTTTTAAAAAACCACCCTCACTTAGCAGAAACACAAATGCAATTTAAAAAAGGCTTTTTGCCAAAGTTGTGAATATTTACTTTAATTTGAATTCAGCCTTAGGGCTGATTAATTGTCTTGAATCCAAAACAAGATGAAAAATAATTTAGGGACTGACACTCCAATTTCAAATGTCCTTATCCATTTCTTTATATCAAACCTTTTCCCTTTTGTTCTTGCTTCGAAGTTAAGCCAAACACAGTTTTGCTTTCTTTTGTTTTGAGACCTGTTAAACTCCCTTGGTTCTCCCTCTGCTTTTCTATTTGGTTCGAAGCTGGCTTTAGTTTGTGGTTCAGAGCCAGCTCCAGGTGGCCTGGGGATTACAGATGCCTTGCCACCAGAACAAAGGAAACTGCTTTGTGAACTCTGGCAGAGCTAAGCCCTTCTTCCTATTTCCAGTCAAGAGAGTGGGCCCAGTGTGTAACTATTCCCTTGAAATAGAGAATTACAGATCTTAATTTCAGTGTGAAAATATGAGACAATTTTTCTTTGCACTGTGGAGTAGTTCTTTCTTTTCTTCCCTCTTCCTGTTGTCCTTGTGACCACTACTACTTCTTATAAAATTAGAACCCGCTAGAAATCAACTCCTTTGGAAAATGAATGGTTTGGAAATGTTTCAGAAAAGACAAATTATTGAAAGACACACTTCCAGACTCATGGGTTTATTTCCTTTACATGTATATGGAAAATGTCACCTGACAGGTTTATGTGGGCCTCAACCTTCTCTACTTAGATACAGCTCTTCTTACCTGGCCTCATAATGCTAAGATCATCACTGGAAGCCCTCCAGCATCTTCCTCATCCACCTGGAAGCTTCTTGCTTTTCATTCCTTTTGGACACTGTTTCTGACAGCAAAGCTCAGGTAACCTGTAGCTTTGCTGTTGATATCTGTTGTTCTTGTGTCCAGCTTTCCTCATTAAAAATGGCCATATAACCTTTCCTGCCAGCCAGAGACTGCTGGGAGCACTGACCTCCCCCAGAAAGCTCCACGACCGTACTGAAAACAAAAGTGGATCCTCCTTTTAATAATTCATAGGCCATCTGTTTAGCTTCTGAAAGAAGAAAAGCAAAAATGTGGGGTTTGTGCTAGTTTATCTAAATACCTCCACTAAAAAAAAAAAAAAAAAGGAAAAAGACCCTTACAATAAACAACTTAAATGGAGCTCATGAAGGAAAGCACTTGTGGACATGGGGGCCTTAAAAACAATTGGGAAGAAAGAACTGGACACCTTCCCAACACAGCAGCTCTATGGGCTTCCCGAGAGAACTCTTTAGGTGGGCTCTTATCAGTGCTCTGTGTGGCCAGGACCACCCAGTTCCTGTCTGTTTGCAGACAAAACAAAGTTTTACCAATCTTCTTTGTGATCCCCCTCCTGAGTTCTCCCTCAAGCTGTCAACTTTAGAGAGCCCCTTTATACCTCCAGAACCCATAAGGCAGGGAAGACACCAAGAAAAAATCAGCATCAGCTGCTGAAAGGACTGAGAAATTGAACACCCCAGCTTTGGGGAATGACTTGTCCAGCACAGGGAGGAATGGCTCACGACTTCAGCAGACTTCAGCTCCCAGATTTCTCCTTTAAAACTGAGAAAAACAGCAAGGCTGATCAAACTACTGATTCCTTTTGCACGTGACGTGAAATATCACTGTTTTCCAGAGCTGACTAGATTAAAGGAAGACTCCTGCTTCAGTCACTGACATTCCTGCAGAAATTGCCTTTTTCTGGATTACCAACAGTAATGTGAGTGGCTGGTGATGAAACACCTATGAAGCTTTTGAGTCTATTACTTTAGTGAGGGCCTTCTTCATCATAAGCCTGAATAGATTTATTGTCTTTGGTCATGGAGTGTGAACAAAAGTGATAGTACTCACCAGTAACTTAGTTTCCTCAATTCTACTCAATTCTAATTGTAACTAATGAAAAGCATACTGCATTTTTACATTGTGGTTCCAGGAAGCATTTTAAATAGAAGTAGCCTCCAGCACTGTTCAAAATGCAATCTAAATAATGTAAGATTGTTAGGAGAAAATACAGTGCTATTAAATAACACCAAGTAATGGACAACTATTCAAAGGCATTATTTTTTATTGGCCTGGATTATTATTGCTGAGAGTTTGTGACCTTACTTGCACTCAGTAATATTTACAGTCATTCGGGAAAGCTAAATAATCATTACTGATTAATTGCTATTGATAATACTGAGTGGTTGTATTCATATTTTGTGGATTTTCAGAGCTGTAAAAACTCCCAAATATATTTTGTTTTCTTCCTACAAGAAGGTTAACCCTTTTCAAAACTAATTTAGGAGACATTGACTTATTTTCCCTAAATTATATAAGCCCACCTCAAATGATGGATTGTTTCAGTCCAGTGAAATTTTCTTTCCGGTAAATAATATGTTTTGTGCAGTTTGTGAGAATGAGACTGTATTATAGACTCTCAACTGAAACACATCATGTCAGTGTGCAAAGTGAGCCTTTTCACTCAGAGGTGAGGGAATGGACAAAATATCCACTGATTCTATTACACAGATGTATAGGTGACATTTTGAGGAGAAGTGAGTAGGAAGGATGAAATCTGTGGTTTTGCTGGATGCATAACACTAATGATGCTGAAAATGGGATATTTCTGAAGATTGCCTCCTGATTTGCCTTGCAAATGGCTCTCTCTGCCAATACTTGCTCATGCCACACCTTTGACAAGAACCCATTTGCAGTGTTTTGCCAGCGTTGTTTAGCGTGAAGCTTCGAGCTCTGGTGAAGTGTCCCTGTAGACCTTTTTATTTTCTTCCCAACTACAGGTTCTTGACAGAAGGAAATGTCAGAGAAGAGTTGTCATGGAGCATGTTGGGCTTTTTTACAATAAAAAACACTGTCCTGGGTCTAGTTGGTGGGAGTGAGCAGCCAGCATCTTTAGTGTCAGGGTGTGACTGATGGATGATTTCCAGGTTCACAGGGCACCCTCTGGTCTTAGCTGAACCAGTTTGGGCAGAGCTGTGATAGAGGAGGCAGTGGCAAAGCCAAGATACCTCCCACAAGAGCTCTCCACAGCTCCCTCCAATGGGAGTAACCACCCAGCATGACTGGTTTGCTCCTGGCTTTCTTGGTAGTGGCACAATCAATTAAAATGACAGAATGATGCACAATGGGAGGAAGAGCTGTGTTATAATGTGGTTTTTAATCCGTGACATGGGATGAGGGGCAGAGCTGGCAGCCTGGGCTGCAGCTGCCCTGCCCAGAGTGTCAAAGCCCCACAATATATCAAGGTATGTGTCTGATAGCCCTGTTGAAACTGCAAAGCTGAAGGAATTTAATCCTGTTTTCATGATTATGTGGAATGGGAGCAGAGCTGATTGTGTTTATTCTGCCCTAATATTAAGAATAGTTCTCAGGATTTTTGGGGTTCTTTGGTACTCCAGGCCCCAGCAGTCACTGCCCTGTGGCCAGAGAGGGATCCTGGAGACCTGATTTTTATGACAGGAATTGCAGCCATGGGCAGTCCATGCTGGAGCAGGGGAGCACATGGGGACAAAGAGGTGGTGGGGAGATGTTATGGACAGATCCCAACCCCACCCCTGTTCCACCTGGGGAAGGAGAGGCAGAGGAGGAAAAAGAGGATGTGAGTGGAATGTATTTTAGCTTTCTTATCTTTCTCACCATCAAACCTATTATAATTTACAATTAATTAAAATATTTCTTTTCCAAGTGAAGTCTGTTTTGCCTGTGAGAGTAATGGGTTAGTGGTCTCCTTGTTTTTTTCTTGACCCATTAGCTTTTTCATTTTATTTTCTCCTCCCCCATCCCATTGAGAGGAGTGATGGTTGGTGGGAAGCTGGCAGCTAATCCAGATAGACCCACTGCAGTATCATGTGCTGTAGAATTTTGTACAGGAGTTCCTCCTCAGAGAGAAATCCTTCCTGTGTGATGTGCTTTAACATCCAGCACATAACTCTTCTTCTCAAATGTATAGCAATGCACACAGGAGTGAAATCTCCTGAAGGTGGGAGAGAACAAGAGTGAGGATAAGTGTGGGGGGGATACAGAGGAAATGGGACAGTCTATCCTGACCAACATTTGACATGCCAAGAGGTTCCTGTGTTCATAGACTTGCAAGCTTGAAAGAGCTGCTGTGCTGGGTTGGATCTCTTGTCAGCAATATTTCTTCAAGGTTCTTCATAGTCTTCACAGTCAGTCAGAAGTGAGCCTTTTAGTTTCCTAGTAATTCCTCTGTGCTGGAAATGCACAGCATGGCTGTCACTATTTCAATGTGTCACTCAAGTGTTTGTGAAAATGGGAGCTTAGCAAAGAAACTTACTGTTGCTGAAACAAACACGGTGAAAAGAAGGCAGGATAAATGGAACCATCTTTCTGTCCCTGCAGAAACTCAACATATTGCATGAAGGTGTCCATGTCCTTGACTGTAGCTGAGAATGAATCTGGGCTTTGCTACAACAGCAAGATCAGATATCTGGAAAAATCAGAAGTCACTAAGAGAAAGACAATCTCCTGTCCTGATATTGAAGATTACAAAACAGCCAATCAAGAGCCAGATGTGGTGTGGTACAAGGTAATTATTGCTGTCTTATTCCTGTTGTGCTGAAACTGTTCAAAACTTTCACTGTTTTCAGTCTGAGGCTTAGAGCTGACTTTCTCTGAAGCATCAGTGGTTTGTGACTGGCCTGGAGAGTGTTGTCCCAGTATGAGAGTTTTGCAGGTAAAACTACCCAGCATGGTCATTGTCCAAAAGAAGTCAGTATCAACGAGGATGTTCTGTGAGAGACCTCACAGGACTTCTCTATGAGCAGTACCTCATTCCCAAACCACAGTGCCTCTGTACCACTTTATACCCTGGTGTGGTGTCTCCTGCATGATCTGGAGTAGAAACAAAGGGAAGCAATGGAGCCAAAGATGTGTTAGCACCGCCAGCTTCAGTTGTGCTGCCCAATTAATTTTTATGGAGTCTGTCGGATAATTTCACCTAGACTTGTAAATTTTTACCAAAGTCTCCTGGAGTCTGCACAGAAGTCTGCTGAGGTTCATTGAGTAACTGCCATGAAGTCAGTTAATTTTAACTGAGGTCAGTTAGATACTTTTACTACTTGCCAGGTAACTCATCTGCCTGTACCTTCTCCAAGGCCTGTCAACTATCATACACCACTTTCATCAGCAGATGTACTGGTGATGTGTTTCTGTAGCTCCCCAATAAAGCAGGACAATGAGAAAATATGGGTTGGCTGGAAAACATCAGGTAATGAGAACACAGCAAGGTCTGGCAAATTTTGCCTGTTGTCTGGACTTGGGTCAAAGTCTGATATTTGGAAAGTCCTCAGATATTAGTTGAGGGCTAATACCCTGTACTAACAATGCAAGAAACAGCAGAGAAGAATAAAGAGCTGAGAGTCAGAAGGAACTGGAAATAGTTGGGCAAGAGGAACAGTTCAGTGGCATCTGTGGAAAATAGAGTGTGGATTGTAGGGGTTTAGGATAAGCTTGGTTCAAGTAATACAGACAGAAACATACAAACTAGTTAAAACGTAATTTGGTGCTTGAATTGCCAACCTTAATAATATTCTTTAAACACAATTATTTTGTATGAAATTAAGTAATGTGGGCAGACTAGCATATTTTTTTCCTCCTTAGCAGGTTGCAGCTGAAAAGAGCAATTATAAAAGTTGTCATTTATTTGTTTTTTACAGAAATCTCATGTTATAGTAACAAAATGTGTGCCATAACTATTACTGTGAACTAGGTTTTTCTTTCAGCAGTTGAAGCTCTTTCTCTCAGCATATGGATTGATATCTTCAGTGCTGTTCATATGTCAAATGTATGTATATAGTTAATCATAGCATCTCCTGTGTTGGAAGGGGCTGACATGGATCATGGATTCCAATTCTTGGCTCTGCACATGAAGTCAGAAATCTCAGAGCAAAGAGGATACTGAAGAGAAGCTGCTTCTTGGCCTCTCTGCCTTGGCATTACTGAACACCAGATCAGTGAAGATCTCAATTTTTTGCAAAAGCACACTGACAAATAGTCTGGCAGAAATGATTTTCAGCTGTCATGGAGCAGAAATGAGTCTAAAGAAGATGCATGTGCAGCCCCACACCAGAGATGCTTTGTACTGACCAAGACAGGGAGTGGAAGGGTCTGTTCCATAACCCCAGCCACGTTGTCTGGGTGTCACACACAGGTTGTGTGACACCAGGCTGGAGTGTGACAGCTGGCTGACAAATCATCACTGAGGTGAAATTGAATAGAATTGATGTCATTGGATGATAACAGTGAGACAATCTAAGTTGACAACCTTTAGTTTGGCTTGATAGTGAAAAGAGACTATCTTTTCACTATCTTGAGTGAGATAACCTACTACATACACCTTCCTATCTATAATTAACAATAACGAGTTATCAGTTTGGCTCTCAGAGAAACATCTTTATTACCTGGACCTGAGTCAGGAAGCTCAGAAGGGTGCAATCACAATATTAATGTTGTATAGCAGGTATATATGTCAGGTTATCCCTTGAAACTTTTTCCTGAACAGAGTTTTGGGTATTCTAGAGACTATTATGTTACTGTTAATAAAAGTCTGCATATTCAAAAGTGCAGGAGTCAAATTTCTAGAAAATATAGAATTATATGGATTTTAAAATAATTTGGTGAATACTGGGGTAGCCCCTACAAACTGCAGTCTGGGACTTAAGAGCATGCTGTGGGAGGCAATATGAGTAACAAGAAGCAGGTCCCTTCTCATGAAGAATAGTGGAAAGTGTTATCCTGCCTTGGGATCTGACCCTCACTTTCCAAAGAAGACATCCATATCTGGTCATAACACACTGGATCCTCAAGTTTTTCCCCCCTACCTTGGATTTTAAGTTTGATGTGTACATAAAACCAAATTTGCTCCAGAGGCACTGGTGGGAGCCAGGGGGAGTGGAAGAGTGCATATTCCTTTCCATTATACTGGAATAGAGATTTTCACCCAGACAGGGTGCAGAAGTTGTTCAAAATAGAACAGTAGATAGATAAATAAATACGAGGAAGTCCTTGAGATTTCCTTCTTTATCCCTTCTGCTGAAAAGAGAAATCCTTGTGTTCATGAGAACCTGCCAGTTGACTGGCAATCAGGGACTTCGGACTTGTGGCCTATGAAATACCATCAGACAGGACAGTGATGATGCCAGCCCATTGTGTACAGAACCTGCTCTGCCTTCCAAAAGGCTTCTCTGTGTTGAGGGAATGATGAATCTGAGCTAGTAATTGCATTAATTTACTGGGAGTTAACTGTAGTTTAAACATGCTCTTAATTATGTCTGAATAGAATTTCACATGCACACCCAGTACGTAATATACTGTTTGCTCTGAGGATCTGTTTTAAGAGTAGTATGAGCTTCACTTCTGAGTAGAATTAAACTTCATTAAGTATTTATTTTTAAAGATTTCCCCAATTAATGCCATTGATATATGCTCAGTTCAGTTATGCCTATTAGAACTGTTTTGACAAGACATGTGGGATTTTTTTTTAAAGTAAAGGTGTGTGCCAAGGCATGATTGAATGAATGGGATTTAAGAGTAAAAGCTGTTTCATGAAAAATCAGCTGGCAGAGGGGAAAAGTATATTACATCTTGAGTGTGGAGTCTTAATCCATTTCCATCATGTCTTTTCTACTACTGAAGGGAGGGCTAAGAGAACAATCAAAATGTCAGGTGAAGGACAGGTAGTTGTTATCTACCCAGAAAAATAGACTTTTGAGGTACTGCCACTTAGATTTCAAGGAAGATAAAAAGAAGTGTAGTAGTGCACACCTTAATTACTGCAGAAAAAAAACCCCAAAATATTTCAGATGTCTAAACAAAGTAAATAGTCTAGAAAAAGAAGCACAGTTTCTTCTAGCAGGTAAATATATTGCAAAAGCAGTAAAGAGCAATTAATTGGCTAAAGCCTTTGGGGAGAATTTAGAGCACCTTCCAGTACCTGAAGGGGGCTTAGAAGATGACTGGGGAGGGACTTGTAAGGGCATGTAATGAAAGGACAGGAGGGAATGGCCTTGGAGTGAAGGAGAGTAGGTTTAGATCAGATATTGAACTTTTTCCTGTGAGAGTGGTGAGGCACTGGCACAAGTTGCCCAAAGAAGCTGTGGATTCCCCATCCCTGAAAGGGTTCAACACCAAGTAGGATGGGGCTTGAAGCAACCTGGTTTACTGGAAGGTGTCCCTGCCCATGCAAGGGTGTTGGAATGAGATGATCTGTAAGGTCCCTTCCAAACCAAGCTGTTCTGTGATTCCATGAAATGAGCCTTTAGAGATATTAGAAGACCTCCGACTGTAAAATACAGATTTCATTCTATTTCTAATAGTTTTCACAATATAAAATCTAGTAAGAATTTTGGTTTTAAGCCATTTTCCAGCTTATCCCCTTTTTTGCTTTTACTTTTGTGTATTAAATATGTAAACAAGCATTTTCAACATACTTCTGTAAAGCCTGCATAGTCAGCATAAAATATAATTTGCTGAAATTTGGGGAAGAAAGCCTTATAAATAATTTTTAATAGGAAGTGTTTCAAGAAGATACAAAAAGAAATAATTAGGAAATTAGTAGTACATTTCCACCAGAAAAAATCCTCAATGTAAAACCACAATAGCACAAACACTGTTTTTGCTAAATCATTAATCTTTGCAGTAGTAAAGGTGTCATCCTTCTTATTGCAAACTTGTGTATAAAAATATAAAGCATATGAAAATGTATCTTCCATTTCTTTGTTCCCATACTTTTAAAAATTGAGAATATAAAACTGGTAACACATAATAAGTTATTTCAGTGCTGCACTAAAGGGTGCATTTCTGAAATATGCTTAATTTGTGTGTTCTGAGAATTGTATCCCTTCTAAATTAGGATTGAATAGGACTGAGTCGTCTTCTTTTCCCAGTGTTCAGATTTAGTTACTCCAAGTAGATGGCTGATGTAGCTTTCAATAGAACTCATATCATCTATATCATCATATCTATATCAATATCAAGCTCAAATCAGAAAGGATTTAATGGCATTTCCTGGCTCAAATATGTGTCCTGAGTGAGTATCAGCACAGCAGATGGGATCTGGATTCCGGTCATTCTCTATCACCAGTGTTAATTAAAGTTCATTTAAAGGACAAGATGATGCTCTCCTTACAGCTGTACTTTGGAAACAGATGTGCTGATCACTCTGTTACCTGCAGTAGTGTTGCACAGCTTCCAAATCTGAAATCTGATCATACTGTAACTGAATTTGGCCTCCTAGGGACAGGGAGAATTCTTCAGGTCCCCCTTTGTAAGTGCAAGGCCAGAAACTCTCAGTCCTGCCTTTTTATTTCTTTACTGTTGTCCTTTAATTTAGAATCTGACATGGATTCAAAATGCATATAGAGTCCATGAAAAATTTATGTTTGTGTCATGCTGATCTCTCACTGTGGTACAATATATTTGCATGTTGACGTATTTTCTTGTTTGGTTGTTTTCTTAAAAGAAAGCTTTGTTCTATTTTGTTTTCTGTGTTTCTGACACTGCTGTTGTAGATGAGCAGAAAATGGGGCATAGGTGTGGGCACGTCACCAGTCTCTGAGGTTGCTGAGCCTGGTGTAACTGATGTGAGACTGCAGCAATCTGAGAGCTTATTCCGAGCTGCCACCTTGAGAGAGGGAGTAGAGGGGCACTGAAGGCACTCAGGCCTGTGTTGCTTTGTGTTTCCTGGGTATAGGATTAGCCAGAGCCTCTGGAACTGTTGGGACTACTGAATGCTTTAGAGAACTTAAAAAGTATGACTTTGTTGCAGGCAGAACAGGCTTGATGTTAAAGGTATTTAGAGATAATAAATACATAATCTTAAGGTGCCATTTTCAAGAGACAGTGATTAGATTTGGCCCATGCTTTTTGTTCAGAGCATTCCAAGAATAATTCAATCATGAGTACTGCTCATGTGGAAGGTGGCTGATCTGCCTGCAAGGATCCAGTATATTAGGAAGAGGAGAACCTCTTCTTGCCCTATATCACACCCTATCCAGAATGACTCAAATGCTGTCCCAGCTGGACCACAATTTGTAGCAATGAACCTAAATCTGCCAAACACCAGCTGAGGATGGTGTGGGTGAAGTCAGTGAGAGTTGCAGGCTATCAGCACCATGTCCTGCATCAGAGGGTGCATGTGGAGGTGATGTTGCAAGGTGCCTGGTGATGGGAAAAGGCTGAATCAAATCTCAGCAGGTGCTGGAGGAGCCAGTGATGAGAAGTAAGGCTGTGAGGAAACCTGGCTTCTGAATTCTCTCAAAAAAGTGCTGTTTTTCATGTTTTCTTCTATTGGTAAATGGTTCTGGCCTGGGACTATATGTAAAATTTGCCTTCAGGCTAGCTCTTAACAGATGTTGCCCTTACTCCCTTCAAATAGAGACGTATTTTAATGGTCCATCCTAAAGGAGAGGCCTTGGCAGTTGTTATGAAGAAAAAAAAAAGATACTTAACCATTGCTTGAGGGCACCATGTATTAAACACAGCCTGTGTGATACAGTAGGAAAAACTCAACCTTAGAAACATTTCTGTTTCATTTCAGTCTTCAGATTAATTCCAGTTTCAGATCTCTCTGCTTTCTGAAATTACATTTGAATTTTAATTGCAAAACATATTTAGGTGGTTGTTTCCTTATGCATAATACTGAAAATATGATCAGGCAATACTGTCTTATGTTGGTAATTTTGGCACTGGATTTTTTTCTGCAGGAATGTGAGCCAAAAATGTGGAGAAACGTTGTAATTCAGAAGGGAAATACTCTCTTAATTCAAGAGGTCCAGGAAGAAGATGGAGGAAATTATACCTGTGAACTAAAATTTGAAGGCAAGCTTATACGAAGGACGGTTGAATTGAAGGTTACTGGTAAGAATCTTTTTTCTATGCCAATAGGAAAAAAAATAAATCTATGAAATAATAAGAAAAAATGGTATTCACATGTTGGTGAAATCTCTCAGTGAATCTGTTTGATAGAAGTAAGTCCTCAGCAAATCCCAGTAGCTGAGCAGTCACAGACTCAGGGAAATTTATATCAAGATCTTCTAAAATTACACAGAAGAGTACTTCTACCTTTTGCTCTGTAGAAAACCTGGAAATGCTCCATATTTTTAAGCTTTCATTTAATTTATGACGATCAGCTTTTCTAGTCTAGAGATTGTATTTAGTGAAGAGTATGGCACAACCTATTCCAAGAAAGAAATTAGCAATGTTGCACTGTCATAACAAAGTAACCTGCTTGTCAGGAGGTTCTCTATGGTTCTGACTTCATGTAGTATTTACTAGACAACAGTATTTTTCTGTCTATTTTTGCCAGGTACCAAAAATGAACAGCTAAAAAAAGTATTGTCTACTGACATATTCCTCCTCCCTTTTCACCCCACTGTGCAGTATGACATCTATAATTATTATTTTGCCTCCTGTGTCTGTGGAACTTTGCAAGTACCTGAAAACGGTTGAGGTTTTCTTCAGCCTTTCACACAAAACCATATAAACAAATGGTTGGGTATTTCCCACACATACTGATTAAAATGGGGCCCTACTCAAAGCAGTGACTGGTAGAATTCTTCTTTATTATATCAAACTGAATTGTTCCATATGATATTCCTAATATGTTCTTGAAAAAAAGAGTCTTCCCTTTATTTTGAGTGGAATCTGGATTTTTATTCTTATCATTATTCCTCATTTTCAGTAAGTTCTATTCCCTGTGTGGCCTATGGTCATGTGACCCTTTATTGTCCATTTTTTACCATGGACAGAACTCTAAAGTATTGATTTGACCTACCTGACCCTAGACCTGAGATATGAATGAAGATACAATGAATTAAGATATGACTATGATATATATGATGATCATATGATAATGAACCAATACCTGCTTTGTGGGTAGTTGCTACTCTAAGTAACATGCTGGTCTTCAATCAGAATGTGAACTAAGTTTGACAAAGTGAAAATGAGATGCATTTAACTCAATTCCTCACTCTGAATTATTTAATTTAAGTGTTCTCCTTTTGGCAAAATGGTTGAGAATCAAAAGATTTTTCCCCTTTTAATTTGGTGTGATTTCATGTTGCATTAAATTTTGTTTAGTTTACAAAAGCACATATGTTTGTAAACACCTTTTCCAGATGGAAATGTTTTGGAGAATGGAAATGTTTTGGAGACATATCTGATGTTATGTGTTTGCTGGTTGAATCGCTGTAGGTATCTGAAAGAGGCTGGTAAGGTTATGTAAATGAAAACCTAAAAATGTGGGCCAGAACTACAAATGTAATAGAACCATGTAAGCATATTGTCTCACAGCTTGGTTGAACAAGTTTATTTTTCCTGTTTTTGTGTTGTTTCAGTTTATGAAGTTTACATGTGCGTAGGTTTAGATCTTTGTGGGGGAGAAGTCAAAGAAAATTTGTACAACAAACAGCAAAGGATTGCTTGTGTTGGGTGGCTGTCCAAGCTGGGTGGGGAGGATCTGAGATCAGATCACAGGCTGGGAGCAGGTACATGACATCCTCAGGGACCTGGCTGAATAAATGTGTGGTCCCTCACTGACTCATCCCAGTATGTCCAGGTCTTTCTTGTAATGGAATTGGTGTTGCCCTGTGCCCCATTTTTCATCTGTCTGAAAATGAGTTCTCATCAAACATTGTACCAGGAGAGGCTAGAGGGAGAACCAGAGCTCTGACTTCTGAACCTGCTGGTCTTTAAAATTGCTTTTAGCAAATACTCCTGAAGGCTGGGGAAGAATTGTCTCTGCTAGCCTGCAACACAAATGTGGAGAAAAGGTTCTTGCCTGCTGCTTTCTTCTGAAGGAGCTTTGTAATTCTGTTTCTATTACTGGTACTTATTACCATGCCTGAATTGGCATTTATTGGCAAGTGTCTGAGTTCCTCTAACATAAAGATTTTGAATAGAAAGACTCTGTTGGGCACTGCTAGCAGTCATGGTAACCTAAAATTGCTATTGAAGAGTTATTCTGAAAGTGAAATGGGTAACTCCATGTCTCCCTTGAGCAAGGAGAGATGCACTGCCATGGAGAGAGAGGAAGCTGGCTTAGACTCCCTGTAGTCTTTCAGGCATTTGCTGAAGTACACAGTTACACAGGACTGGTGTACAAAGCACACCAGTTAGGTGGGTGAAGTTATTTATCTCTCAATTGTAAGACAAAGATCTTCTTTTCTTTGAAGTTGCATCAAATATTGTACATGAGGTTTTTAGTCCTTTGTGAAGATTCTGGTAGTTATGTAAGTAGCAATATGAAATATCTGCTATTCGTAGCTAAATGCAGAACAGGCATCTAAGCAGTGAAACTTGAAATCAGAATAAATGCAGTGCTGTCATAACAGAAGTTACATCAAATGCTTTAGGAAAATTTCAAGGTACAGGAGCCAGACACACCATTTTAACTTGCTGTTGGTAAAACTAATCAGTATAGTTAATGAGATCCCAGACAAATGCAGCAGTTTTGCTGAAGATGTGATCCCACAAGCCAGCCTGATCGAAGTTAACAGCAGACAGGAGAGCAGCTGTGGGCCAAGTGAAGGATGACTGCCTGTTTGGTGTTTATATCAGTGTTGCCTAAGGATTTATTTCAGGTAAAGGCTTTCAGATGGGAACACAACCCTGCTCTTATTGTTTAGTTATCCAGTAAAGTCCAGTGATGTCATTAGGGCTATGAGAAGGTGTTGCCTTAACTTCCTGTACCAAAGTGTTGGCACAGTTGTCTTGGTGGCTGTGCCTGTGGCAGGGAGCTGCAAGGACAGTGTGTGCTTTCCTTGGACCCTGTCTTGCCTTCTGGCCTTTGCAGACCCAAATGGAAGATCTCAGTGGGCCAGTTAGAGGTAAAAGGGGAGTTCCTCCTTTTCTTCTGTGACTAAGTCATGATATGAGCAACTATGAGATTATTTGTAAGAAAGAAAGCTCAGGAGATGGAATAGATAGATAGATAGATAGATAGATAGATAGATAGATAGATAGATAGATAGATAGAAATAGAATCAAATAGATGGAATATAATCAATAGATGGAAACTGAAAGCTATCAGTGTGTGATGTCTGGCCAGGGGAAGACAGAGGGACCTGAGTGGTATTGGTAGGTGAGCAGGGCTGGCAGTGTCATCGTCTGGCTGTGGTGGGTAATGAACACTGAGTGTGATTCAGTTGATAAAAGGCTTCAGAGGATGTTGCTCTTCAGGGTTGTAAGGGAAAGGCTTATAGCCTAGAATATATTTGAAAAATATTTTGACATGAAGTATTTATAGAGACAAAATCCTGAGCTACAATACAGCACTAATGAGCAGTGCCTAAATCTTGGTGTTTGGGTGCATTTAACAATAATAGATTGTCAACAAACCAGCTTTTTCATCACTAGTTCTTCATGGGTTTGTTATATCATTCAGACAGATGTGAAACAAGTCTTGTCAGCCTTTTTTGCTGAAGAAACATGACAACAATGTTATCTCTTAGCAAATAACACATAACCCTTCAGTCTGTGTAAAAAAAAATATACTGATATGATTTCACTTTGCTTCTTGGTAGCTTTGGTGTGACAAACAAGTGAGATTAGAAACTGTGATCTAAGCATAAAGCATAAAAATGTAACAGAAACTCAGTTTTTAATTAGATAATAAATTAGAGTGCACCCATTTAGAAAAAATCTGAAAGCACTAATATAAAGTTATAGATAATCTACATTATTAGAATTTATTTAAATTACAATTATTCAGGAATATCAGCAATCAAAAGCATGTTAATGAGTATTGTAAATGCCAATGTTTATTGAAGAACAGTTGTACTATTCAGATTAAAAGAAAAAAACCTCAAATGTAGAAAGTAACACTGGTTTTGAAAGGCAATTTATGCATCTTCCTATTTTCCCCATCCCTACCAACAAATTACTCGGTCTTGATGCACAGCAATGTATCAATAGCTTTGAGGGTGAAAAGGTGCAATTGTGGAAAACAATTAAGAATTAATTAAAATTAAGATCTATTATTATTATTGTTATTATATTACTATTATTATTAATAATAATAATAATTTAATAAAAATCTTAAAGATAAACACCTGCTGTGTTTATCTGCTCCTTCAGCACTCTCTTTACTTTGGAACACTGGTCTGTAAGGACACAGGTCGAGAAGAAGATGCAAGGAGATGTATTTTGGAGGTTTGGGAAAGGGTAGTGCCTCTGAGAAGGCAGCAAAACATGGCAGATGAGGCTGTTTTGCAGGGATGTGTTTCTTCAGGGACAGCTGTGCTAGTGGGAGAGGTTGCCTTGTTCTTTCTTCTGCCTGTGGAAAGAGGTGATTTGTGAGCTTGTACTGGTAAATTATTTTCCTGTATGACAGGAGAAGGTGGCATTCTGACCAGCTTCATAAACTACTGGTGATGGATTGGAGTGACATGCAGGAATTACTGGACCACTCTGTCCAGGAGCTCTGTCCTCCAAGTTTCCTTCATCCTCTACTCTGGCATATTCTTCACAGGCTGCTAAAATGCCTGGCTGTTCCTAAAAGTCATTTATGCAGCAGTATCTGTTTTGACCATTGTAAATGACAAATTATTCCACATGGCTACTTGAGTTGAATGATTCTGCCTGAATTCACTCTTTGATCATAGTTTTTCAATTAAATCCTTTCAAGTCTCATTACATCTCTCGCTTTTCAAATTACACCTGCTGCTGTTGCTAGATTTTGTTTGTGGGTTTGGGACCCCTTTATTAGCAAAAGTAGTTGATGGTGATTTGCTATTGTTAAACCAAGGGGGTGAATTGGATTTAGAAGGGCAATCAATTAGTTGGATTTTCCAGCAGCTCTAGTGCCATAGAGAGAGAAGCTACCACAAAAGAAGAGAGGATATGAGCTAAAAGTATGT